GGGGGGGGGGTGTACGAACTGTCCATGTTGTTGAGGGCCGAGTTGACGATGCTCCGTGGGTCCTTGGGGGCCGCGTCGGTCGGCGCGTCGGGAGCACTGGCGGCCTCCTGATCACCATCTGCAGGTTGATCGACGTGTCAATATCCAACACACAAGAGAGGCCAGGGGATTTCCCACGCCGGAGTGGGCGGCACGTACCGGGATCAACGGCGTCCGACCGGAGGACCGCCCCACCGGAGAGAACGGAGATCCGGTTGTCGAAGAGGTCCTTGCACAGCTGAGAGTCCATGAGAGGAGGCGAGGTGAGTAGGGGGACAAAGGTGCCGCAGGAAAGCGGGCACAAGTGGGACTCACCTGGCAGAGGTAACCAACGAAGGAAGAAAACTCGCCACGGATGTCGTATGGCGATTTGGGTTGGTAGTCCAGGAGAAGTGCGTCCGAGGGTCGGAAAGGGATGAGCTCGGTGTCGCACAGGAAGTGCACCGTAGACTCGACGTCATCTGGCGTGCGGAATGTGATCTTGAATTCGGGGGGCTCAGCACGCTGGCGAGAGAGAGAGAGAGAGGTTAGAGGGGAGAAAAGAAGAAGGAAAGCGCCGCAGCCCTGGCGAAAGAGATGCAAAAGAGAGAGAGAGCGGCGGAGGGGAAGAAAGGCCGCGCACGTCATCTTGCGAGGATGGGGGGGCAACCCCGGCAGGGGCCATGGCGCCGGGAGGCGAATCGGTTGCAGCTGCCCGGCGGGTGACGATCGTCCCGGCCGAGGACAGGGCAAGAGTCCGGCTGAGGTCCTCCACCGAGCGGATGGATCCGAGTGGGGTGCGGAAGAAGACCCGCCGGCGTCCGGACGCCGAGATGCGGTAGATGCTCATGGAGTACTGGTGCGTGATGTTGATGGCGCTGGAACCAAAGCCTCCCGAAGTGCCGGTCACATCCTGCTGGGCGGGAGACCGGCGCACGAGGGACAACTCGAATCCGGCAGCTGGCACGTCCAACTCCGCCCCCGACTCCACCACCGGTGTTACTGGCAGGATGAAGAGGATGGAGGAGGTGAGGACGCCAGGACGAGGGTTGGAGGGGGCCGCCGTGGTGGCGGATGCCGTGGCGGCGGATGTCGAGGTCGAGGCCGGCATCGGGCCGGCGATCTCCCTGCCTCCGTGAACGGAGGCCATTTGCAGGAGGGATGAGCCGGGAGAGGTGGGAAGGGGAGGAGGGGGAGAGGGAAGGAGGGAGGGGAAGGAGGGAGGGAGAGAGGGAGCGGGGTTCTTTGACGGTCCCGGGCATTTTCCCGCCTGGAAGAGAGGGGCTTTTTTCGGCCCGGAGTACACACCACCAAAAGGGGCCGGGCCAGGGCCGGGCAGGAGGAAAAAAGCTCGCGCGCGCAGGAGCGCGGCTATCGATCGGCCGAGCCAACGCCGGACTGCCGCCGGGAACCGTGGGCATCTAACTTGGGAATGTGCTCGCACTTGGGTCCTCGCGTGATCCCTCGACTGGGGCCTGATTCCGGGGAGCGTGTGATGTGATGCATCGGGACGCAGATGGGTGTGACCCCGCGAACCGGACAGTGGGGCGAACACGGCCACACAGTGGCTCTGGCCGAGGAACGACCCCGGGCGAACATTGAGACAAATAAAAGATCGACCTGCGGATGGAGGGTTGGGCCTTGGGATTGTGCGGGAGGGTGGTCGTCAGGCGAGATGCAGGGGGGGGCGCAAGCAATTCTTTATTCCCGGGAGTCCCGGGGAGGGGGAGGCCCGGGGGGGGGCGGGCGGGCGGGGGGGCGATCAAGCCTGTTGGGGCCGTGGGGCAGGGCGCCACGAATCGGGTCGAGCGTGCCGGTGCCGGGCGATGCCGACCGCCAGGGACCGGGAGAACATAGTACAACCGACCGGGAGACGGCAACGAGAGCTGGCCGCGACGTGGGGGCCCGGGCGCGAGGGGGGGGGGGTCTGGCCTGCCTCTCAGCCATTGGGCTGGCCCATGTTTGGATGATGCATGATCGGGCGGCCTGAGGGCGCGCGAGTCGCGGCGGGGGGTGGCGAAAACCGGCCACTTGGCGACGGGATCGACCGAGACCAAGTGGCCGGTGGCAGGGGTCGGGGGGGGATCTGGTATTCCCACGTCGGCGGCTGGGATCCAGGGGAGGGGTCCCTTTCTGGGGGGGGGGGGGGGATTGCCGTTCAAGGACGCTGCTGGGCAGGGCCGGCGCGGCGGACGGCCGACAGTGCCTCCCCCCGTGGCGCCCAACCTTGTGTGTGTGTGTGTGTTCCCCTCCGCGGGTTGCACCAAACACGGGGGTAGTCGTTGGGGGGCAAGCGGGGGACCGGAGGGGCTCTTGGCTTAGAAACGATGTGTCAAGCGACACGGCGCCGCGCGCAGAGGGCCGAGGAAAAGGCCGCATTAATAATGGATTGAACATGTCCTTCGACCAACACTCATGACTTCGGATTCTGACACATACACACGGAGGCGGCCTGCATTATTCCAGCCCTCGGGGGGGGGGGGGATGTGCTGTGTTTGTGCGACCGGTGGACTGGCCTTATTTTTACAGCTGCCGCTGCCCCCTCTCCGCTCGGGTTGCGATCGAGACCCTTGGCTCTGGTGGCTTCGCGGGGGGGGGGGGGGGGCAACGGCGAGGAGCTGTTCATCCCCCTGGCAACATTTGCCGGGCCACGGAGCCGCCCTGGTCCCCTCGCGGCTGGCCGGCCAGCCGGGCCGGGCCGCCGCGCGCCGAGGGCGACCCGGCAAGATGCGCGAAGGTCGGTCGTGCCCAGGACTCTCGGGTCTCGGGCGGCGTGGGCACGGCTGTCCGTGAGGGCATGGGTGCAAGCGCCGGCACCCCGAACGGACCCGGCCCCTCCCGCGTCGCGCGCGCGCCCCCCCCCCCTCCCCCTACGGCGCCCGGGCCTCGGGCTGGTGTTGCCAAGGGAGGGGGCACAGCGGGTGGGCCTTGTCCGGACGCGCAGACACCCCGGCCCGACAGGCGGCCTCCCCGAGGCGCCGGCCGTCGTCTTCCGGGCCGCGGCCCGATGGCGGGTGTCTGCTCGCTGTTTGCCACCGCTGGTGTGTCCGGTTGGGCGCGACTTCGGGCGCCCGCTGGGGCCCGGACATAACCCCCCCCCCCCCCCGCCCTCGCCCAAAGAGCCTGCCTTGGACCGGGTATCACCAGGGGGAGCGCTGCTTGTTTGGTCGTTGTTTGCAGCGGGCTAGGTACGAGCTTCGCCGGGGGGGCGGGGGGGGGGGGGCGGCGGCGGGGGGCGGGAGAGGCTGACAGCCTGCCCGCCGGCCCGCCCATCGCCGCGGCGGTTCGGGCCGCCTCCTTTCACCGGTGGCGTTGCCCGGGGGAATATTGCTGCTCGGGCTTGGCGTGCGTGGCGGCCGGCGAGGGCCCCCTCGCCCACTCGCCGCGTGTGGCCCCTGCGATGGGCACCTGTGTGCTCTCGGTGGCCCGGCCAAGGGCTCTGTGGGCCGGCCGATGGGCAGATGCGTGCGTGCGTGCGTGCGTGCGTGCGTGCACGCTTGAGGGGTCTGTCGTTCCTCTGTCAGCGCTTGAACGCCAAGGAAGATTGTTCCAAACGGGGGCCGACTGACGCTGTCCCCCTTGTGCCCCCTTCTCATCTGGCGTGTGGAGGTTGTCCCCGGGCCTCCTCGTCCCTCCTCTCGGCGCGCCGGTGTGCTTTCCGTCCTGGGCCGAGGGGCAAGGGCCTCTCGAGAGGCTGGCGCCCAGGAGTGTGTATGGTGTGTGTGGGGTGTGCATGCGTGCGTCTCTCTCCCCCTCTCTCTCTCTCTCTGTCTCTCTGTCTCTCCCTCTCTTTCTCTGTGCGTGAGCGCGTGTGTGTTTGTGTGTCGGCCCCACTTCGTGGTGTAGCCACGCGTCAGCCCACCCCAGGGGGGGAGAATGACACATGGGCGGGTGTTAAGTTTGTCGGGATATGTGTAGGGCGCGCGCGCGAACGCGCATGCCGGAGGCTCCTGCCTGTGGCCATTCCTCCGACCGTGCGGGGCCGAAGAAGGCGGCTGGGCGGGCCGACATCCACCTCGGGACAGAGTGCCCGCCTGCCTTGGAGCGCGCCTGGCCGGAGTGCTGAGACACCTGGGCGGCCACGGTTTTCTGGGAAAGCCCCTCTCGCCCTTCCGGCGGACAGGTTCTCTGAGAAGCTGACCGGGGTGCAGTGGGCCGCCTCTCCCCTCCACGCCCGACCCCTCAGCCCCACAGCCTCTCTCTCTCTCCCCCTCTCGCTCTCTCTCGCTCTCTCTCGCTCTCTCGCTCTCTCTCTCATCCTCTCTCTCGCCCTCCCTGAGGGCCAGCTCGCCGCTGTTTGTCTGTTCCCCTCGCGGCGAGCAGAGGGGCCCTGGGCAGAGTGGCTTGGGCGGGTTTTTCCCCCTCCGATGTTCCGGGCTTCTCACTGCGCGCGGGCCGATTGCGCGCGCACGCACGCCCGTGGACCGCAACCGCCCTTGATCCGGCCCTCAGGGGCGCATGCCTGGAATGCGTTTTCCCTGCCCGAGCGCGCGCGCGCGCGCGCGTCCGCGGCCGCGCCCGCGCCCGCGCCCGCGCACACTCGGCCAATCCCGCCACCCAGGCTGCTGGCATCACAGCCGGGGGAATGCCCGTCCCGGCTCCGTCCCCCTCGGGGTCATGGTCGTTTATTTGGCCCCCGGGGCCGGCGGGCGGGGGCGAGTGCTGGGATCCAGAAATGCCCAGCCCTTCTCGGCGCCCCGCTCGGTGGCGCGGGGCATGGGCGAGAGAGGGCCGAGCCGGTGCGGTCAAAGGGGGGCGCGCTCGTCCCCCGACAGTCGAGACACCCGGCGGCAGGGGCGGGGAGACATGGTCCGCGGCCGGGGGGGGCGGGGGGCTGAATGTCGCGAACCTGTGCCGCCCAAAGGCTCGCCCCAGGGCCAGCCTTGCCCTGTTCCCCCGCCCCCCGCCCCCTCTTTGACCCCCTCGTGTTCTGGGGCGGAGACCTGGGGCTGGCAGTACCCGCGCGAGTGAAGGGGCCGGAACGGGGTCGGGCGCGAGCGGCGAGGGCCTGCACCGTCGGCCCCGCGACATGGTTCTCCGTGAACTGGCGCGCGCGCGTGCCCCCGCGTAGGCGCGCGCGCCCAGGGCGGCAGGGGCCCGTGAGAGGCCCCCCCCCTGCAAATGTGGCTGCGTGCGGGCCAGCCCGTGGTTCCCCGCAAGGGGTGCACAGGGACAGGGGAAGGGGTGCCTCCGGGACAGTTCCCCCCCCCCCCCCCGCCCCCGCCGTCGCCCCCCTCCCCCACCGCACGTCCGCGCACACACGCCGGTGAGGGGGCTTTTTTTCTGGGACCATCGGGCGGTTGATCCAACGGGCCCTCAGCATATTCCCCACTTCCCCCCTCTCTCTCTCCCCCCCCTCCCGACACCTCCTCCGGCTCCAACTGTACCTCCCTCACTTCTGCCCTCCCGCCTTCCTCCTCCCCCTTCCGCCTTCCTCCCGCGTGTGCATATCTGCGCACTCATGCATGCTCCATTCTCCCCTCCTCTCTTCTCTCTCCCCCTCCATGCCCCGGTGCTCCAACACACGCACACGCCCGCACCCACCCCACATGTGTCCCCTGTCGGCGGGCAGTGCACTCTCATCCCCCCTCCCCCCTCATTGTCTCCCTGCCCTCTCTTCCTCGGCGCTAACTTCTCTCCACCCTCGCGCGCCCCCCCCCCTTCTCAGCTCGCCACTTTTCTCCTCCCCTCTCCCTCGCCACAAAACATCACCATGAGCAGCATCAACGAGGACAAGCTTATCCGCCTACAGCACATCAATGAGTGCCTCCGCGCGGACCTCGAGCGCGAGCGCGTCAAGGTCTCGGTCGCCAGCAAGTCGTGCGTTTTCCACTCTCCTCCGTTCCTTCTCTCTCCCCCATGCTCGCCCGCTTGTGCCCCCCCCCTCTCTCGACGTGAACCCCTGCACTGCTCTCTAACTCACTCGGCCCTCACCCTGCCCCTTCCTCCATCTGTCTCTCCCTTGCCCTGTCCTTTCTGCAGCCTCATCGACTTCACTCTCGAGACCATGGACCCTCTGATCCACACCAGCCAGATCGACACCAACCAGAACCCCTTCACCAAGAATGCCCGCAGCCGTGCCTGCGCACTCTTCTAAGTGTCTCTCCCTCTTCCTGAGGAGGATCAGAGCGAGCGGGTACGCACACACTCGCCTCCCCCAGTTGCACGCTCCATTTGCCCCCGCCCGCCCCCTTGCTGCTCCTGCACACGCTCCTAACCGCCATCCTCCCCTCCCCCTTCTCACGCCATCCCCACGCACCAACACAGGGAGCACACCCTTCCTCCTTTGTTCCTCCTCCCCTCTCTTCTTCTGCGTGCCGCACCCGATCCCCCCCCGTGTGAGACCCCACCTAGAGTTCCCTCTTGCCCCTCAGTTCTCCGTTTGAGGGGACCTAGCATGTCACGCGTGTGTGCTGCCGCGCCGCCGATGCGCACGCCACCACTCCGTGTGTGCGCCCCCTCTTCCCTCCTCTCTCCCACCACCGTCCTTGTCTCTTCTTCCGCTTCTTCCGCCTCTCTGCTCTCCCTTCCCCCTTCCCTCCTTCTCCTTTGCAAGTGGCAGGGCTGGGCGGACTTGTGGGGTGTCGAGCTTGTGAAGTTCCGCCGTGCCCGCCCTCCTCTCTCCCTCTCTCTCTCTCTCAGAAATCGCCCGAAGAGGCGTCTTGCTGAACCTCCCCCCCCCCCTCGTGTGCGGCACACAGCGCCACTCTCCGGGACGAGGGGCGGCGGCATCTCTCAGTGCACCCGGCTCTCCTTCTTCCTCTTCCGACCCCTGTCTCTTCCCATGTGGGTGGCATGTGTGTCGGTTGTCGTCTCGCCGCCTGCCTCTGTGTGTCCTCTTCTCCTGCCTCCTCTTTCGCTCTCCTCCCCCCTCTCGCGTGCACACATTCGTGCGCCCGGAGGGAGGGTGGTGGTACTTCAGATATTCTCCTCCCCGGGCACCGCATGCGAGCGCTTCTCCAGCCTCCCCACAGCCGTGTATCCCCCCTCCGCCCCTCCCTCTCCTCTCTTGCCTGCCTCCCAGTGAGATGATGGCGGTCCTTGTGTGCAGTGCCCGCGCACCGCGCATCGCGCCGGGTGCGGCTGCTCCGCTCTTCCCTCCTCCTCTCCCTCTTCCTCCTCGACACGCGCATCCGATGCTAGTTCTCCATTCGGAGCGTGCTGAGGGTGGCAGTCTGGCAGGCGTTTCCCCTCTCTTGTGGATGCGCACGGGCTGTGCCTCCCCATCCTCCTCCTCCTCCTCTTCTTCTTCTTCTTCTTCTTCTTCTTCTTGTGTGTGTGTTTGTGTGCGCATGGTCGCATGGAGGCCTATCCTTCCTCTCCCTCTCTGGACATGTTGGTGCCCTTCGTTGCTCCTCCTTGTGCACGCTCCCCGCAATCCCAAAATATACCCATAAATCCTACACATGTGTGTTTCCTACGGCTGCACCTCTCTCTCTCTCTCTCTCTCTCTCTTACGCGCACACACCATACTTCACAAAGCGGAGGGGCGATTGAAGCCCCACCGACCATGGGTACCAAGCCGGGGGGTATGTCGCTCGCAGCCGCCTCTCGCGGGTCAGGGCCCACCGCGACCGTATGCCGGGAAGCCCTCCTCTGGGCGCTGGTGTGTTGGCGCGCGGGGCTTCCTCCTGTCTCTCTCAGCCAGGCGCGCGCTCCTGCCGGCAGCCGACAGGCAGCTCGGCTGTGAGCGGTTGCCATGCGCCCCCCGCCGCCCCTCTCCTCCCCTCGCGAACGGTAGCCTCGGCATAAAGGCAGGCAGTTCGCCCAGCAGACCACGCATGACTCCCCCGCTCGCTCGCAAAACGCACCATGAAGAGCGCCCTCTCTTTCTCCCTCCCTGGGTGAGCGGCGCATCCTCCGAGCGAGCCCAGACCACTGGAAAAAAGATGCGCCCAGCCGAGGGCCACAGCCGCGGCCGGTGGATTGCCGGGGACAAGCTTGTGACCTCCCGGGCGCCGGTGCAGCGCCCCGGGGCGCACCCGCCCGCCGCCCGAGAGGCAAGGCAGCGGGTGGGCCAGTCCCTTGCCCAGTGCTGGCCTCAAAGCGGCACCACTGCCAGCGCTGTGAGAGGAACTCCCCCACAGAGGCCGCGGAGGTCTGGCATTTTTGAATGCGAGCGAGAGTCCCCCCGGAGCTCCGCCCAGGGGCGCGAGCGGGGGGAAGTGTCGCGGGAGAGGGCCGCGCGCGCGCACACATTTCACCACATCTTCCGATATATATAGAAATATATGGAACGACCCCGACATGCGCTGGGGAATGGAGAAATTGTGTGGCAAGCTGGGGGCAGCCCCCTGCAGGGGAAAATTGGCTCCTGGCAGCCCTCAGTCAAGGGCTTTTGGGCGGGCCAGGTATTAGGACAAGCGAAGGAGAATCACGCACTTCATGTGGGCGGGGAGTATCACGCCCGGGAGCCCTAATCACACGACAAAGGCGCCTCCGCTCCCTGGCCTGACGAGTCAAGATATGGAGACAGCCCGCGGCAGGGGGGCCTCCGCCGCGGCCGGGGGGCACGCCTCCCATGCGGTTTTCGGGTCCGAGAACGGGGGGGGGGGGGGGCGAGGCGGCTGGCCAACTGACGCCAGCCGGGGCCCCCTCGCCAGGTTGCTGCACCCTTTGTGGAAGATCCGACGGACATGGGCCGGCTCGGGGGAAGGAGGTTCCCTCCTTTTTTTGGGCCCGGGGCCGGAGTGAGACGCGCACTCATTCCACCCTGTTCCGGGCCAGGCGGCGGGATCTGTCAAGTGGCGCCCCCCCCCCCCGGCGTGCCCGTGCAGCGGACAGCCGGTCCCCGCGCATTGTGATGCGGGGCTACTGGCTCCGGCGGTCTCTCCTGGCCACAATCCGCGGGATACCACAGGTGGGGGGCGAGGGCGGGGGCAGGCCCCCAGACACATGTATGTTGTCCCGAGAAGCGGGTGTTTGTGTGCTTTCGCACACTTGTCGCCGGGCCGGCTGCGGCCCCGGCTTTCTCTCTGCCTTTCGCACTGCCTCCTGAAAACCAGCAGCCGGGGCTCCTTTTTCGGATCATCGTGCAGAAGATCCGGACCCGGCGCCCCAACGGAGACGGGGGGGGGGGGGGGGGGCCGGGGGCGGAGCGAGGCAGGCCGCACACGCGTGTTCAGATCGCGCCCGGGAGTGCGCCCACCACTCCCTGCCCGGCGGGGCACCTGGGCGCGCGCGCGCGGCCTGCGCTCTGCATGACGAGCGAGATGAGACGGCGGCCTCGGTTATGGGGCCCCTTGCCGGGTGTCGGCCTGGGAAAGCACTGGGAGGCTATCATGGTCTCCAATCGCATACCGTGCCGAAATGGCCGGCCCGGTATCCTGCCCTCGGCGCCGCCCCCCGATCAGGTGGCACACGTTCCCCCCCCCTCCCGGACTGGGCTCTCCTGCTGGTCCACATAGACCCTGCCTGTACCCGAGGCCGATCCCCGCGCAGCATGCCGCCCCTGGAGAGTGCGGGCAGCGGGACGGGGGGGG